TTGTCCGCTCAGCCCGGGGGGCGGCGCCCCCGCGGCTCCTCCTCGCCGCCCCCCGCTCTCCCGCAGGGGGCTCCCAGGCTCTAATGTGTGATTAAAGTTGATATTTTATATCTGTGTACGGCTCCCTGTGTGTTTGTGCCTGCGGGGCGGGAGGGAGGTTGGGGAGGATGCGGGAAAAGGAAGGTTGGCGAACGCCCCCCCCCTCCCCTCCCCTCCCGAGGGGGACCTTTTGTTGCTCGGAGCTGCTGCCAGGAAATGGCTTCCGCTTCTCCTCAATTTTACTTGCTTTCCTGGCCGTGCGCAGGGTCATGAGGCAGCTGGGGCTTCGTGCCATGAGCGAGGAGCTGGCTGATCTGCAGCATGGAGCAGTAGGGTAGAGCCCGCTAGAAGTGTCAGCCTATCTTTGGGGGTAGCCAGTGTCATAAAGCCACAGAACCATTAAGGTTGGAAAAGCCCTCCAGGATCACCTGGTCCAACCATTCCCCTTACCACCAGTGTCACCACTAAACCATGTCCCCAAGCACCACGTCCAACCTCTCCTCGAACACCCCCAGGGACGGTGACTCCACCACCTCGCTGGGCAACCCATCCCAGTGCCTGACTGCTCTTTCTGAGCAGAAATGTCTCCTCATTGCCAACCTGAACCTCCCCTGGCACAGCTTGAGGCCATTCCCTCTGGTCCTGTCACTGGTTACCTGTGAGCAGAGGCCGCCCCCCAGCTCCCCACCCCTTCCTTTCAGGCAGTTGCAGAGAGCAATGAGGTCTCCCCTGAGCCTCCTCTTCCCCAGCCCAAACCCCCCCAGCTCCCTCAGCCGCTCCTCACAGGCCTTGTGCTCCAGGCCCCTCACCAGCTTCGTAGCCCTGCTCTGGACATGCTTCAGGGCCTCGATGTCCTTCTTGTAGCAAGGGGCACAAAGCTGAACACAGCACTCAAGGTGCGGCCTCACCAGGGCAGAGTACAAAGGGACGATCTCCTCCCTGGTCCTGCTGACTACACTATTGCTGACACAAGCCAGGATGCTGTTGGCCTTCTTGCCCACCTGGGCACACTGCCAGCTCATGTTCAGGCGAGCTTCAATCAGCACCCCCATGTCCTTTTCCTCTGCAGGAATTTAGGACAAAGCTGTTTGAAGAAAAAATAGAAAACTCAGTGTCACTACCCACGGAGTCCAATCCGGATGGTTTGCTATGAGAGGGAATCAGTGATGTTGAAGAAATTCTGCCTTGGAATATGAGGCAAAGAAGGCCCAGCAGTAGGTCCAGGGCAAAAAGAGATTTTCCCTGCCAAGTTTCTGCTTACTGCACTGCTGAGTGGCCACTTCAGCTGGCCTCAGGAAGACTGCTGAATAGCTTGTGCAACAGCTCGAGCTACAAAAATGGAAAGCACAAATAAGAAGTTATGTGGAAAAGTGTAGTGAGAGCCTCCAAGGGAAGAGGCAGAAGGGGAACTGAAACTGGAAACCCAAACATACAACAATGGTTTCCCTTTTGCCAGAGAAATAGCAGTGCATATCTGCTCGTGCAGTGCAGAAATGCAGTGCATTGCATTTCTGCTCCTGTTGGTGGCTCTGGAAACAAATCATCTGTTTAGAATAGCTGCCTTCCCTGACACTGCTAGGAAGTGGTGAGAAGGTGGAGCTGTGTAAACAGAGCTTTGATCTTATTTAGTACTGTATCAAAGACCCGCTTATTTATACTATATGGAAACCCAGTTGTTTAAACAGGTACTGATACACATCCCCCAGTCAAAGTTTTTATTCACATGGGTTTAGGTTTCTTGTCATTAGTTATTGCTAATGTCAGCAGGTACAGGAAGTCCATAAGCACCTCACAGTAGTTGCAGTTAGTTTATACCATGTCTGAGCTTTACAGCTAAAAAAAAGTGCTCTGAGTGGAGCAGAAGTCACTATAACATAGTGAATGCTACTTACTAGTCTTTGTTCTTTTTCTTTCTTCTAGGCTTTTTATAGAAGCCAACAATAGCAAAAAAAAGTCTTTTTTTTTTTTTTTTTTTTTTTTTTTTTTTTTCTAGAAGGAAAAGGGATATGAAATCTTATATCCTTCTTGGAAAAGTTATGACAGACTGGAAATGTTACAAAAGCACTAAATAGCTTAACCAGGCAAAGTGCTTTCCAGAGACTTTTTATTATTATTCTGTAGCAATCACTGCTTATCACGACGTACTGCCGATGTAACTCATTGCTGACTTGGATGAGTTCGCTCAGATGCTGGTATCTCTCTCTTGCACTGACCATTTCAGCTTCCATCTCACGAAGTTGACAGCAGATGACTAGGCAGATGTCATCGCAGATGACTATGAAGTCCTCTTCTCAAGTGACAAAACTCAAAGCATTGGAGATACAAAACAATAGCATGGCATTGAATTACACCCCGAACCGTAATGTAACTCGAATCAGCAGATTCATTCTGAGGTGCACATTGTTGAAATGGGACCTCAAAGTGCTGTAGTCATACATAAATTCAGGTTTAGTAGAATTTATAACCTTTTGTCAGTTTTAGATGAAAATGCCTGCCTGTATCCGCAGCTCTGTAAGCAACCACAGTGAGGAGAGTGATGCTGGCATCTGTCAATGACCTGTTAAAGGATGCTGAAAGAAAAATTTCAGAATGCTTCTCTCCTCTTTGTTCAGCGTTATGCTTTCCATCACTGGCTTAGATGCTTTCATTCAGACTGCAGAGCCCTAGCACATGGTGCCAGCTGATAGGAAAACAATCTGGAGCTGGATATCCCCTACGCACAGCTGGCGCCTTATTCCACTCTGCTCTGCAGACCTCCCCATCAGCTTTCTCTAGATGTGAAAGCATAGGCTCACTAAATACACCTACAGCTGTTCAGCAAAATCCGTTTTGAAGCGATCCTGCCACGGAAGGGTGCCAAAGGAGGTCCTCCCCTCATCCAAGCAGGGATCTCCAGCCCTGGAGGTTTGGCAGCAGCTGTTTGATGCCTCTGGGGATGGGCTGCCCACTGCGAGATGTGCGAGCTAACAGTGACACTCCGTGGAGAGCCAGATGAAGTGCAAGAGGGCGATCGTCGCAGGTTTTTGCTCTCCTCTGATGTGTCAGATGGAAAGGTGTTGAAGCTGGATTTGTGTATTTCAAAGCAGAGCTTCCTTCTCTCTGAGATGAGCCTCAGCGTACCTCCAAGCTGTAATTTTGGCTTCCTGTAGTATTAACAGATTCAGGAGAGGTATTACCTATAGTACACCTACTGCAAGTAAGTAGGCGGTGTGGTTATGCAGCATTAGATATCCTGTGTAGGGCTGCCTCAACAGCAACTGAGGAAATACAAAAAATAAAATAAAATATGGACGGAGGAGCAAACACCGTCCATTGTAGGTTGGAGGATGGAGTAAGACTCTTTTTTTTTTTTTTTTTTTTTTAACAGAGCATTCATATTTTTGTAAGTGTACCAATTTTTGCTATTTTTTTTCTTTACACATAAAAAATCTAAGAATAATGGAAGAGTTGAGATTCAGGCACTTTAAGATAGAGTTATAGATAGAGTTTTAACTATTTTTTAAGGTGTAGACAGCAAGTATGCAGCACACAGCATGAAACGCATGACCTGATCTGAGATAGAGGCTAACCATAAGAGGAAGGGCTAATAGATGGTGTCGGAAAGGGAAGTGAGAGCATTAGGATAGAAAGCTGAAGAAACTCAGTCTTGAATCACCCTGAGGAGACAGATCTGAGGTGTTAAGGGTCAAGGAAGAAGAGATTGGTGAGCTTAAGAGGTAAGAAGAAGGACCTGGAATGAGAGTCACAGTGGTACAGACAGAAAAGTGCAGCCCTATGCCAATTTATGGAGGAAAAAAGGCAGCTGGGGATGGTCTGTGAAGGGGGCAGCCCCATCGCAGCAGCACTCATGGGCTGGAGAATCACCAGCCAGTGCTCAGCAAGGAAACCCAAAATTTTGGGGATGTGCTGGGTTTTGGGGCCAGGAGAGATTTCAGCTGAGGTAGGAGCAACTCTCCCGAAAGCTTGATGGGCATGTGAAGGGCAGGTGCCCAATGTCTGCTGTGAACTTTATCGCGTGAATCTTGTCACCAAACTTTTGGAAGTAGGTCAACGACTTTGGGAAGCCATATGTCGTGAAGAGACATCACCACAGGCTTTCCTCCAGCCTGTCAAAGCCTGAGGCTGTGTTGCAGTGCTCTCGGTGTGCTCTCAGCCAGCTTTTGAGCCTCCGGGACTCTGGCTCAGGAAGAGGCCCCTTGGCTTCGGCTGCTGGTTCGTGCAGCTACCCATCAACACTGATTTTCAACATCTCAGGTTTGGAGATGGAGGCACAGTCTGCTTTTGCTGGGCTGAGATCCTCTTGTCTATGCATGTCTACATCGTGGCACGAAGGTTACCTGGACAGCCCTGCTAAGGGCATCTTCATCTAGCCCTGAAGCGAGGTGGGCTCCAGAGGGAACCACCAGCAAGGTGAGACCATTTGTTCTGCCCACACAAGAGGTAGCTGGAGTGAGGGCTGCCCTCCCCTCGGAGCAGAGTTTGTGAATTATTTAGTGTCTCGCCTTTCTGCTCCAGCAACAGGACCTCTCGGCGCTCATCTCGTCTGCTTTGACTTTCTTTTCTCCCAGCCTTTCTTGCACAAAACTGCACTTGCCCCCATGTATTATTTATTGGAAGATTATGCTCTCATAACGTAGCTGTGGGTGGAATGGACTCTGCAAGGATCTTCTGCACCCCGTGTCTGGAACGATTGGCAGGGGGAAAGAAAACAGACTACAGTTCAATACCAGGGGTATGAAAATGTAAAAAAACATATATATATATAGGGAGAGAGTTCCCTCTATCTCTCTATTTGCCCACGAATTAATCTGCTCTCTGTCACACAAAACCTAAAAGCAATCCTCAATAAAACTGCACCCTGGTTGCGTTAGTCTCATTCTTTATTCTGCTTTATTTCTTCTTCTTCCTTTTTTTTTTTTTTTTTTTTTTTAATATACAGAAGAAGCCTATTTCTGTGGCGTGTTCGAGGGTGATGCAATCAAAGCCCATTGCAACATCTTCCAAATAGCTGTTTGTCGGATGGCAGGATCTCCGCCCTTGATTCCCGTCTCTACATCCCGGTCTCCTTTAAATAAATTAGTTTTATGAATGAACAACTCAAGCCCCGGAGAAGGTCAGCAGCGAAGGCAGGAGGAGCGGGGCAGGTTCAAGGGGCAGCCCGCTGGACCCACTGGTGTTTCGTGATGGGTTTCACAAAATACCCGTCACGAAGCCCTTACAGCCCAGTGCGATGCGGGGAGGAAGGCAGCGAAAGCTGATGCTGGATCGGATTTGTGCAAGCCCAAGACTGAAAACCCGTCGGTGCTGCCCACACCCTTGAGCTGTGATTCAGCATATTCCCGGAGCAACCCCGTGCTTGAAACCCAGTTTCCTCCTGCCCGGCTGGGGGTGGATTTCCCCTCCAGAAGCCAATGAACAAAAGCCCGTGTATTTCTGGCGGTGATGCGAAGGAAACAACGTGTCCTGCTGCCTCCCCACCTCTTCCTGCACCGCACGGCCCTTGCTGAGGGCTGCGGGTGGCGATGGAGCCTGGGAGGCAGCAGGCGCCTGGCTCTGCTCCACGCCTCCAAAATAAGAGCTCTGCCTCGTCCTAGCTGCCAAGAGGAGAGGAGCAACAAGCTGCCCGAGCCTTTGCTCAGCAAACGTAAGCAAAGCACAACTGAGTGCTCTGTTATTGACTGATATTACCCAGGAAGTACCCTTTTTTTTTCCTATTTTTTTTTCTTTTTTTTTTTTTTCCTTGTTGTTTGCAGCGGGATCTCAATGGGGAAGCTGATCTCCAAAGGCTGGCGCAGGAGGGAAGCACGGGTGGTCATGCTGGGGCTCGACCTCGCCGGCAAATCCACCCTCCTCTACAGGCTGAAGAGCAGCCGGGCGATGGAGACGTGCCCCACTGTGGGCTTCAACGTGGAGTCCCTGCGGACGCCCTGCGGCCTGCCCTTCACCCTCTGGGACGTCGGGGGACAAAGCAGCCTCCGGGCCAGCTGGCCCCACTACCTGGAGGACACCAACATCCTCCTCTTCGTGCTGGACAGCACGGACACGGCCCGGCTTCCTGAAGCTTTGGAGGCTCTGGAGGAAGCCCTGGACCACCCCAGCCTGGCCGGTGTCCCCGTCCTCCTCCTGGCCAACAAGCAGGAGGTGCCCGGGGCGATGGCTCCTGCCGAGCTGGGGCAGCGGCTGCAGCGGGGGCGGCTGATGGGGCACCCGTGGGTGCTGCGGGGCTGCAGTGCCCTCACCGGGCAGGGCTTGCAGGAGGCTCTGGGGGTCCTGGGTGAGCTGCTGAGGGGCGCGGGGCAGCGCGGCCCATCCCTTGTTGGTCCAGCAGAGAGGAGGCAAGCCCTCGGGTGAGCCCAAGGTGGAGCCAGCACGGAGCTGGAGCTCGGGTGGACCCTGCGTGGGGTTTGCCAGCAGGATGCCAGGCTCTGGGCACCCCCCAAAAAGAGCAGACCTGCAGCTGGCACACGTCGTGCTGAGAAACACCCAGCAGGAGCATTTTGGGATCCGTTTCTCGGATGCTCGCCACCTGCATGTTTGGCATGTTTGGCAGAGAAGCCCACGAGGGATTTTTATCTTTCCTCCCAGCCCTGATGCAGCTATCCTGATGGAGCAGGACTTCCAACAGCGGCCTCAGTGCAGCACCCATGGGTGTAACCTTCAAACCGTGGAAGCGAGACAGGATTAGATGTTGTGATGCTGTTTCAGGATGTGTACTTACTAATTCCTTGCCTTTCTTTCCCATTCCTTATTTTTATTGAATACCGTGTGCAGGAAAATGGTGCCTAACTTCCCTCGTGTTCTCTTTAAATATAAGGAAGTCAAACCCAAGTTCTAGGTGCGTGGAAGCACAACCTCTGAATATCCTCGTGGTGGTTGAGGGGAAGCCCCCCCTCTCAGATGGTTTGAAATCAGGTGAAACCACTCCGCAGGAGGTGGCCCAGCGTGGGCAGGCTGATAGCCAAAGGGCTCTCCATGCTCACCCTGCTCCAGGCAGCCGAAATTCCCGGCCCTGGATGCTCACAGCAGGGCCAGGGACCCAGTGAGGTCTGTGTCTGATCCCACTGAGCCTGCTGGAGGAAGGACCTATGAAATGGGTGCCTGGAGGGTGCCCCACACCCAAAATTCTCTTAATTAGGGTTAAAGTTAAGAAGCTTAGTGGTAACCCTACTCCACGATGCAATGAATGAAAGCAGTGGGGCAAGGAGATCGAGAGAGGATACCACATTTTTAGGCAGCAGCAGTCGGCTGCTTTCGGGAAGGAACTTATTCAGCCCAGAATCACCAAAGAAAAATGCACAAAGAAGCCTTCTGCTGTTCATACCAGTGCATTTCATGGCTCTTACGGCATTCACCATCCAGCTGCCTCTGGTGCTGTGATTAGCCTCACTTCGTAGCAGGCAGCAGCCGGGACACAGGGCCTGTCTAAACTCCTGAAGGAGCAGGGCACAACAAACCACTCAGGGGAAGGTCTCAATAAAAGATGTCCTTCCAAGTGAGTCACAATTTGTAGCTGTGTTAATATATAAAATATAATAACTGTTATGTGTGATAAAAGAGTGCTCCAGTGTTGGTCTGGCCTGAGTGATCATGAGTACCCGTAAGTAGCACTGAACTGTAAAAACCTCTATAGCAAACCTGTGTGAATGACAAGGAGGACAAAATCATGTCTTTAAATACTTTTGTATTTAAATACTCGTGTATTTGTGGCTAATATAAGCAGGCTGATCTGCCTTCGGCTTGGGGGTGGCCACCATTGACTTCTAACACGCGTTTCCCAAGCACTTGTTGTGTTCTTGACTGTCGGAACCAGATGAAGAGGTTTTTGTAAGGCAAAAACATGCACTTGTATGGAGATGGAGATGAACGAACCCAGGTTATCTGTGCAGCCCCATCTCCAGTGCACAGAGAGGACGAATCTTCTCAGGGGCCCCTCCAGCCACGTGGAGCAGCGGGCCTGGAGGTGCAACACAAAAATCCAATTGCTGTGTCAAAAGTGACTCCTCATTCAGTTTGCTGGTGTTTCGGTCCCGCATCTCACATGGTACCAAACGGAGTATCGATCATGAGGGTCTGGGATCTGCAATATTAAACTCAGCATGTGTTGAAGAGTTGTCGTGCTGCTGCTTTACTCTTAGCTGGCTCTTGATGCGTGCATTTGACTCTCCAAAATTGTCTGCTGGTGGTTAAAAAAAGGCTCTGAAGCCTTCATATTCCCCCAGGAGTGTTTTTTTTTGCCCCTTTCAAGACACAAAGGGGGCAGCAAATAGAGGTGACCACAAGCCTTTGGTAGAGATCAGCAATTACACATCAAACTATCAAAGTGGGAAGTGGTGAAGGAGGGGTTCTCGTGGCAGGGCCCGAAGCAGATTTAGGCAACATCCCCGTTCCCGACAGCGTCCTCACGTCCCTTGAAGGAGGGGTTTGGCACAAGACTGCATCCCGTGGGGCAGCATGTGACTGCCTGCCCTTGCTTTCTGGAAGCAGGCGTTGCTCGGCTCTCGGTCACGTTGCCCCGCTCGCTCACGCCCTTGTTGGAGCCTGATGAAATGATGCTGGGCCACGCTGCTCCAAACAGCAGCACAGAGTTCACTTCTAATTATCCTCTCTTTCCTCCCGTGTTGCAAAGCACCTGAAAACAAGCAAATCTACCCACTCCTGCCCTGTCCTAATCCAATGCTCACACAACAGCAAGCACCAAATACTCCAAATATTGTGGCTAAAAACTTCTGGCCAGGAGTGGCCAAGTCATAGGATAGCAAGGTTTGGGAGACCTTCAGAGACCTCCTGGTACATATTGAAGTTTACAGGAACTTCAGTTAACCAAAATTCCTAATTGTGCATCCATCTGCCCAGTCGCTGCTTCGCTGAGAAGAACCATACTGGCGAGTGTGGTGGTCAATGGCTGGTGGCCGATGGCTCCGTGTCTGGGCGGGGGCCGGTGACGAGTGGTGTCCCTGTATCACAGACATTGCTGCTCACTGAGAGCAGCCCTGAGGAGAGGGATTTGGGGCTGTGGTGGCCAAAAAGCCAGGCAGCAGCCAGCAGTGTGGGCAGCAGGGCAGGGAGGGGATTGTGCCCCTCTGCTCTGCCCTCGTGAGGCCCCACCTGGAGTGCTGTGTCCAGGGAGGGTGTGGGGCTGGGAGAGCGGGGCCAGAGGAGGGCCATGAGGGTGGGCAGGGGCTGGAGCTCCTCTCCTGGGAAGGCTGAGGGGGCTGGGGGTGTGCGGCCTGGGGAAGAGAAGGCCCTGGGAGACCTCACGGCAGCCTTTCAATGCTCGAAGGAGGCTTATAAAAAGATGGAGAGCGACTCTTTGCTCAATCAGATAATGACAGGACAAGGGGGAATGGTTTTAAACTAAAGGAAGGGAGATTTTAGATGTTAGGAGGAAATTCTTCCCTCAGAGGGCGGTGAGGCCCTGGCACAGGCTGCCCAGAGAAGCTGTGGCTGCCCCATCCCTGGAGGTGCTCAAGGCCAGGCTGGATGGGGCTTTGGGCAACCTGGGCTGGTGGGAGGTGCCCCTGCCTTTATTTTTTTATTTTTAAATATATATTTTTCCAGATACAACACAGAAGAATAGATTGGGAAAATAAAGAAGTTAGAAAATAGGTTGTGTAATTCAGTGAAATGGCATTGCTACCACTTCAATACGCCTAGCAGCTGTATGTTAATTTCCTCCTCTTAAATAAACCCTGAAATATCACCTATAAAGATTCACCACGTGTATCTCACTGAGACGAACAGGGGGTGAAACCACATGTGCCACCACCTCTTGAAAATGCTAACACCACTACAAGGTGGCATTGAAAACCAGCCATGCAAATGACAAACTACGGCTAAAAACACTCTGGCATTTAGAGGGGTTAATTAATTGGCTCTCCTCTAATCTTCTTCCTGATGCCTGATCATGGCATTTAAGCCATGATCGACCTCTTGTCTGATAATTGCTATGAGAAAAAACTTCCCTGAGTTCATCAGCCATCACATGGCTGATGAACTATTCTTAAATTCACTTATTTATTTATTTATTTATTTATTTATTTATTTATAACCAAACCACTGTCATGCCAGGCTCACGAAGCCACCAGTTCCCGCAGTGAGAGGCCAAAGCCGTGCAGTCCCAAGCCAAGTTTCATAACAGGGGGAAATCTCTTTGGAAAGACCAAACGGGAGGTTTCCTCGGGAAGAAAAACACCATCCCAGGGCAGGCCGGGACCCTCACGTCCCAAGCAGGAGGAGGTCTAACAGCCATGGCATTGCTTTGAGAGCATTTTTCTTTCATGTACCGCTTTTTCCCAGCCAACAGACTGACTTGAGGGCTTTTTCTGCTCATGGAGAAAGATACATGCTTTGCAACTCATCATTTTCATTGCCTTCAGGAGCAAATGTTGCCTGTTTCACAAGCTTTGTCCGTGTATCACAGCCATTGCTGCTCTCCACGAGCTCTCTGCTTGAGCAGCACCAGGAGAAAGCAAGGGATGGATCTGCAGAGAAAGCCAGGCTTGGGAAAGCAAAATGGACCCGAGGCAGAGAGCAGAAATAATGAGACAAAAGACCTTGAAAATGGAGGAGAAACCAAGCAAAAGCCGCTCGGAGGATGGACTTGGTTGTGGTGCTCCCCATCAGGCAATCTGCAGAAGGGGTCTCAGCATCCAGTGACTGGGAAACCCGTCAGATCTCCCAAAAAAAGCCATTCAAGGGTGGAGGAGGAGCGCAGCACTGCAACTAGTTGGAAGGGTTGAGCATTCACAAAAGTGGAGAAAGCATCGCTCCCTGGTTTGGGTGGGAGAAGGTCAACAGGGAAGCAAAATGTGTCAGATGTTCCTGTTTCTGCAAGACAAGGTGGGACCCATCCCAGAACCAGAGGATGGCTGAGGTCCAAAGGGACCTCTGGAGGACGTCTGGTCCAACCCCTGCTCGAGCAGGGTGCCCAGGTCCATGCCACGACCCCAGGACCATCACCAGCAAAGAGCAGATTTGGGGCTGCAAGCATGGGTCCTGAGCCTCCAGAGCTGCCCTGAAAGAGATGGGGACAACGTCTATGGTGCCACCAAGCTCTTGAAGACACCTCTGGGGGCTGTGGATGTGTCAAACCAGAGCCTTGAATGGTTGCCATTGTCTTCTTCATAGCAGATTTATCCTAATTAAATGATTGCTATTCCATTTTGGTGGTGGAAGTTCACGGAGCTCATTGCTGTCTCCTTGAAGGTGATGTGCCCCAGGAAAGAAAACACCCTCAAGGGAAGGGCCTCCAAGAATTTACTTGGTGTGGGGTTCAGGGACAGCATATATACTAGTACAAGTACTGCTATAAAAGCAACATCAACCTTTTAAAAATGAAAAAGCGATAAAGGAATAAAATAAATAATACATCCAGAAGAAAAAACACACACCCCAAAACCCCAAAACCCAAGGGCAGTGCAGGAAAGCTCAGCTGTGAAACAACAGCGATGAAAACAGGCTGCCGCGTTGAAGGTGTCAACGATGGAGTCAAGGAAATGAAGAAGTCCACGTGTTTTGGTTTTGTCCCATCCCGCCTGGATTCCAGTTTATTTATACAGAGTCTGTGATTTTGATTTTTAAACCAGATCAGGTTGCCCCAAACCCCATCCAACCCTTCCTTTCAACTCCAGGTTTGAGAAGGTAAAGAGCTTTACCTTTAACTCCCACGTGGCTCCTGTGGGAGTTTGTTCGTTACCCAGCTGGTGGGAAAGATGTTTTCCAGCAGAGCTGGCGGTGCTGGAAAGCTGGAGATGTCCCCCAGGAGCTGTGCTGATAACCACCACGATCCCTGCAGGGCCGTGGTGAGGCTGATGAACCTTCAGGCAAGCTCTGGGCTCTTTATAAGGTGCTGACCCTTGGTGCTGGGGCCCTGCACTGCACCAAAGGGAGCTCCAGAGCAAGGACATCAGCAGCAAATGTCAGGCTTGGGAAGCAATCCACAGGTTTATGCCAAGAATAATCCCAGAATTTAACAACCTTCGGTTTTGAAGCCTGTAGGATTTGCATTTTCAGATTTTTCTCTCCCATCGTTAAGTGCCAAATAGCTTTTTTTTTTTTTTTTTTTTTTTTTACCTTTACATTATCATCAAAAATGCAACTGGTTAAGCAAGTAGAACTCCTGCAGTATTTCAAGAGGTCAGAAGTTGGCTAAAATACCAAATACAGCTAAAGGTGTGAAAACTGCAAGGAGAGATTTCTCCCCTTTCCATCAGGTTTTATAATATGAGCGCAGAGCTGGGGCTGAGCTCTCCCCAAAACTCCTCCCTGGGTACTGATACCCCTGCGAAACTTAGCGCACGCGGACGTTTGGGCTCATGCTGCTGTCAGCGAGGTACAGCCAAAAACCACGTTGGCTCACTTCAGCAGGGCCATGGCATGTGGAGATTACAAGGGCTGAGGGATAAAGGAACTGGAAGACCATTTTTTTATTTTTTTTTTATGAAATTAAAACATTTTGGGGAATATTTGGAGGTGCTTGATGTAAACTTGAGAATTTGATAAGCCCTCCAAGGACTCCCCCAACACAAATTCATGCCCTGAGATGCCCCAAACAACAAACCCAAGGGCACAGGGGCTGTTCCTGGAGAACTGATTCTGAATACTCTGTTTCATGGTGACAGGGACGGGGCCAGACCTCACTGTGGTTTATAATACTATAACATATGTAATATATAAATATACAGCACTTCACTTCTCCTTCACATACAGGTAATTTGTATGGGGATCGTCAGGACTGACGGATGAAGGCAGAGAGCTGTAAAGACGAACTTTTCTTTAGCCTTCAGTTTAAAACACAAAACCGATGATATTCTGAAGTATGATGCACAATGCTGCAATGTCCCTAACGCTTTTTAAAACTCAGGTGGGAAAAAAACCCCACCCTACGTTCCTCTGTCAACCTGTAGGCTGCTCAGGAAGGATTTAGGACAGGACAGCATCATTGGTAAGCCAAAATTGTGAAAATGGAAGCGTTTGGTCCCAGCTCTAGTTCCTGACTTCTCATCTGTTTTCTACTTTTTTTTTTTCCCCTCTTTTCTTCTTGAAAAGTGCTTTCTAATGGTCTGAAGTGATTTGTTGTCCTATGTATGTCTGAACAGAAGCGAAAC